ATGTTTTTGTTTGGTGGTGGCTGATGACCGACAACATTGAGCTGGTGGGTAGCGCGGCGATCGTCCTACAGTTGTGGTGACGTGACGGCGTCGGGCGACTAATGGCGGTGACCTGTAGCCGCATCGGTGAATACACGGACGACTACAGCAGGATTTGACGGAAATTGGAGGGCGGCTCTCGATGGACGGTGGCGACTTGCGACCGCGTCGGCAAACTGCAACAGTGGCGGGTGGCTTGCGGCAGTAGCGGGTGCCAGCTACTTGCCTTTATCATTTTACATGAATTAGGGCGGCGGCGACAGAGGCTAATGCTAGCGGTTGGCACAGACGGCAGGCGGCGGCGGTGATCGATAGCGGGAGGCTAGCGGTGACCGATGGTGGGCGGTTGGCGGTAGACAGCGGCGACTTGCATAGCATTTCACATGAATTGTGTGATTCAAATTCAGTCAAATCTGCCGAATTCTAAATTCAGTCAAAATGAACTTCGATGTAAACTTTAAATTCATTCAAACTTTTCGTTGTATTTGTTATTTTTCTTACTAAACACATAATTTTCTTAAATCCCTACAAAAGAAGACAGTATACCACTAATTCGCTTAACCAAACAACTCCTTAACCAAGTAGAGAAGAGTTCATACTTTGTAAAGATGTAGAAATGGGATTTAAGTGTGTTCAGCATTCTCCCATTAATGTGACATTCTTTTAAGTGAACAGCAATAAATTTTAATCTAATGCTTTTCAACTAGCCATCTTTGAAAGTTCTCTCTTGTGATCTAAGGGTATAATTAATCATTAGTTGCTTACATTAATGGGAAACCTCAACTAAAGCCTGCACAAAATGAGGGTGAAATCTCTGGGTAGCGTCTTGTCTTGAATACACTTTTTCTTTTGAAATTTCGACTTGAAAACATTATTCTCATAAAAGCGTCGGATGAAAATTCGGGGCCAATCATGTGCCTTAGGCCATTGCAACTACAATGATGCATTTGTATTATATACCGAGTTTGCTATTGTATTACTTACTGGTCTTTGAATCTACTTCTGAGCAATGAATTTGGCTTGATGGTGCATTCGTGTTTACGTTAAGCTTTTTAAATCAATCTCAAGCTAGTCATTTATTTGTTCACTGGCTTCTCATAGTAGCTACATTAGCTTCCCAAGTTTCAACTACTAGATTTGATTTCTCTTCCTTTAATGAAGCTTTTACAGAGTGGCCAAATAGCCTTAGTATCCTTTATTTTTTTCTGGTACTAGTTGAGATTGATGAAATAAATGAGCTCACTAGCTATGAAATGCTTTGATAACTTCTGTTACTATACAACACAAAAAATAAGCACAGATAGAAACTTTTTATGCTTCACTTTGTTTTTACGAGACATTCTTTTGTACCATTCACTCAAACAATATCATAAAATATCCATTATTTTTTATTTTATGAGCAGATACTTTGGTTTGAGAGTAAACAATATGTTTCATAACTATCATCATCTGTATTGTATAATTTTTGGTTGAATAACTTATAATGATGGGAATGTTTGTAAAAAGCCATTGTTTTCAAATCAAGCTAAATATGGACTAAAGAGCATTAAAAAAAACCTTTATCACCTGCATTGCTTTTTCTACAATGCTCTATGCCGCAGAATGTTGGCCTTTAAAAGTGCTGCTGAGATGAGAATGCTCCAGTGAATGAGTGTTGACACTTAGAGACAAAATGCGAAATGAATGTATCTGTGATAGAGTTGGTATAGCTCCAGTGGAGGACAAGATGAGAGAGAGTCATCTTAGATGGTTTGGTAACTTAAACGTAGACCATCTAATGATCCTATTAGGAGAATATATGTTTTAGATTCGACTTATGTTAAGAATGACAGAGGTAGACCTAAAGAGATTTGGGCATATTGTATAAAAAAAGATCTTGTACTAATAGAATTAAATGAAATTTTGACACTTAATAGACTCAATGGAGAAAAAGAATTCATGTAGCCGACCCCACTTAGTGGGATGAAGCATTGTTGTTGTTGTTGTTATTTTTGCATCTTTTCTTCTTGAGTTTTATAGATAGTGTGATATTTAATTTATTTAAATCTTTTTTATAATTTATTTTGTAATTTTAATTTTGCATACAATATTTTTGTTTTCTTGATTCTATTGTAACAAAAATCAATGTTTTTGTTACAACAACAACAACAACAACATGCATTTATCCCACTAAGTGGATCAGGTACATGAATCTTTTTTCTTCATTGTTCTATTGAGTGTCATGTTTTCATTTAATTTTAATAGATTATCATTTTTTATACAATATGCCCAAGTCTTTTTAGGTCTATCTGTGTTTTTTTTTAACATAAGATGAATCTAAGACATCTACTCTCCTAAATGAATCATCATATTGTCAACGTTTATTGTGAAGAAATCATTTAAGATGACTCTCTCTAATCTTGTCAGCAACATGAGCTTCACCAATCCTTTCATGGATTGATTCTTTTCGCAATTTGTCTCTAAGTCTCAAGCCACTCATCCACCTATGCCTTCTCATCTCAATAAAACCTAACTTTGTTTTATGCTTCACTTTTAAAGGCCAACATTTGCGTCACAAAGTATTACAGGTCTCACCACCATTTTATAAAATTTTCCTTCAAGTTTAAGTGGTACTTTTCTATCACACGATAGACCTGATGAATTCCTCCACCTCAACCAACCAATTTGAATTCTAACAATAACATTCCCATGTATATTACCATCACTTTGAAAAATAGACATCGAGATATCTAAAACATTCACACTTTTTAATGATTTGATCACTCATAGTTATAAATCTGCCACTAGAGTTACTACTATTAAAACTGCATTACATGTATTCAGTTTTAGATCTACTCAAACGAAGGCTTTTAGACTCCAAAGTAGACCTTCATAATTCAACTGATTCTTGAACTCCTCTAGCTTATCCACAAGAAGGATATCATCAATGAAAGGCATACACCAAGGTACATCCTCCTATATATGCCCAGTAAGAGCATCTATAACTAAAGCACAAAAAAAAGGGCTTAAAATCGATCTCTGAAGCAATGCAACTGAAATAGAAAAATATTTGGTCAATCCTCCTGTTCGAACACATGTAACATCTCTAGTATACCATATTTCTAATGACTTGAGTATAAATCATACAACACCTTTCTTTTCTAGAACTCTCCCTAGAAATTCCTTGGACCTTATTGTAAGCTCTTTCTAAATCAATAAAAATCATATGTAGATCCTCTTTACTCTCTCTGTACTCCTCTACAAACTCTTCAATAAATGTAAAACTTTATTAGTAGACTAATTATAAGATATCTTTGTATCACATCTTAACCTATGTTTTATTACCCTCTCCTATAATTTAAAGTATGACACATGAACTTAATTCTCTTATAATTTGCACACTATTTTGCATCCCTTTTATTTTTAAAAATGGGGACCAAAATACTCTTCCTCCACTCAAGCATATTTTAATTTTTAAAATAATATTAAAGAATTTAGTAAGCCAAGAAACTCCGAAATCTCGTAGATATTTTCACATTTCAATTGGAATATCATCAAGTCCTACTGATTTTTCACCCTTAGTTTTTTTTAAGCCTCCTCAATTTCATTTTTACTAATGTGACTATAGAAATAAAAAATTTTATTATTATTAACAATATTAAAATCGGGGATTATATTTTCAAAAACTTCATTTAAAAGTTTATCAAAATAGCTCACCGAGCTATGTTGATTATCTTCTTTTAAGAAAAACATATTTTAATTTTCATCTTTAATGCACTTTATAAATCTTTACTTTTCTTTTCTCTTTATTTTACTTGTTTGTACATATATTTTTCACCCTCTTTAGCATTTAATATATTATAAAGATCATTAAAGATAATTCTTAGCGTCATAAATTGTTTTCTTAGACTAGCTACGGACCACCTTATATTTTTCTCAATTCTCTAAGTTCTTATATTTAAACCAATTTTTATAACACAACTTATCTTATTTTATCTTTTATTGCATATTTTTATTCTATCACCAATTATTTTTATTTATAAATTTTTTTTTATTGATTCTCTAAGTACATCTTTTGTCACTTGTTTAATAGTACTTGTTATTTTATCGCACATAGAATTTAACTTTTTCATGAACATCCCAAATGTTGAATCTTGAAGTTTACTCATAAAAATAATTTTATTCGTGTATTTTATGTGTTTCCATCTAATTCTATGACAATGTTTCATTGCATTCATTATCTTACAACCATTCATCTTAAAATTCAGTACTAATAATCAATGTTGAATACTTAAATCTTCATTTGGAATGATCTTACAATTTTTACGTTCTTGACAATCTCTTTTTCACATGAGAAAATAATCAATTTGTGTTTTATTTGATCCATTTTTTAAGTAACAATATGCTTATATTTTTTCTTAAATGAAGTATTAGCAATAACAAATCAATATAAAAAATAATTCTTTATAAATAGTAGAGGATGAAATAAAACAAGTTAAAAATTACATTTACTAAAAAAATTAAAAATACATTTTCTTAAATTATTTTTATTTTTAATACTATTAATATTAAATTTTACATAATCATGAACTGAAATAACTCTTTATAAATAATCAAAGGACCATTATGATCATCAAAATGATTTTAAGTGCAAGATCATGGTTCCAAGGTTAACTAGTGCAGCGAATTTTTTTGCAGTATTATTCATTGCAAACTCATTGGTTCGGATGTATTAAGCTCTCAAAAATGATGAGCATTGACCTAAAAAGAATGATGTTTATACACAAAATCTATATATGCAAATTTGACTTTGTTGTTAAAATGATTGTCCTTATCATCAAGCATTTAGGAGTTCAATTTTGGTGGTGATTATATTTTATTTCTTTAGTGTGAATCAATTAAAAAAAGTTTTATTTATTTATTTATTTATTTATTTTTATCTTTGTGCGATCTTTAAATGGTTCATTATTTCTATTTTACAGAATCTTCTTCATGTTCGAGAGGAGAACGTACCAAATAATTTTGGAGGCATTAGATACTTTGGGTTTGAAAGGCTTACCTTCGTGCCAATCCAGGTATTCTTTGTATGCTTCTTCATTTCACATTCCCTCATTTCCAATGACCTAATTTGTTCTAATTAAACTGCTTAGACGGCATGAACTAAAGTTACAGACAGTTTTTATTTTATTTGCTGAATGGGGTTTGATAAGTTATATGTTGTACATGTTTGTGACCTATAAGACAAATTGCTTCTTTGATCTGATTTCGAATTTTTGAGTAAACACTGGATTAAATCAGCTCAATCATTGAGGAGCAAAGAAGTTGTGTATTCATTTAGAAGAAATATCATGTTATTTCAATTCTTAATATGCAAATCTTTTCTACTGCCTTTTTCATTTCAAATCTGTGTTGTTATGATCATTTATTGTTAATATACTTCGCTTCATCTGTTGATTAACGATTCCATTGCTAGAAGAACATTCAAATCTCTTAGAATGGTTTTATGCTTGCATTAACAGACCATGCCCTATGATGCATGAGAATAAACGGTTTCTCCCAAATTTCTTTATTTGATGAACATATTTTATCATTTATGTGTACTGATTCCTTATGCTGAAGCATCACATGTTACAAGAGCTTAAATATTGATATTGTTGTTTATAAAATAACTTTCCCTTGACTCATTTGCAGCTAATTTTAAGGGGCATTTGCATACATAGCACACAAATCTACTGTATTTACGTATCTCACCTATACTTTCATGGTTACATAACACTCAAATCTTTAATTTCACATAAAAATTAGCATTATTTTTACTTTTTAAAAGTGAAATCCACCTTCTCATGTATAGGTTCAAAGCACCAAAGTGCTATGTATATAAATATGAATGTTTAGGCATGAGATCTGTAAATACCCAAGAATTATGTGCTATGTATATGAATTTGCCTAATTTTAAATGCACATTAACCAAAACACATGCAGAGCAGGGAGTATCTGTCCTACTGTCGATAATATGGTGTTTAGATATGTGAATAATTAAAATATAAATTATAAACAAATGGAGCAAAGAAAGAAAGACCTAAAGACATGAAAAAATGTCCATTGGTGAAAGATTTGGCAAGTCTGATGCCAGTAAATTTTCACTACCATAGCTTCGGCTTTCTATGCCATTCAGATGCCAAACTCTTATAGTAGATAGGGCGGTGTTTGATTCGTTCGATAAGTAAACGAGACAAAAATAAATAATTTTTTTTTTCATTCGGTTAGTTAAACGAAACAAACACGAGCAGTGATGCATTTGTTAGTGTTCGAATCGTTATTATTCGAAATATAAAATAATTTAAAATAATTATATATAAAAAATTTAATATATTTTTAAAAAATAAATTTTATAAATTATAATATATAATAATTTAATAATAATAATATGTTAATATACTATATAAGTAATACACTAATATAGATATTATATATTTATATAATATAAGTTATATAATTAATATATTATATTATTTATATATATTAATATTAAAGATGTCAAACTGGCTCGTCGTTCATGAACAGCTCGTGTTCGGTTTGTGTTCGACTCGTTCGTTAAGAAACGAACACGAACAGTGACTTCACGAACAATTTCGAACACAAGCTTATTTCAAACAAACTAAATTTTAAACGAACCGAACACGAACACAAGCTCTGTTCGTTCGTGTTCGTTCGTTTACACCCCTAATAGTAGATTGAAGGGCAAGGAGATGAAGTCCAAAAAATCAAGCTTGTATTGAATGGGGAGATCTTACAATTGACCTTGCAATTAATTTCATTCATCAATCAGTAATAATTAATTAAAAGTCATGTTTTCTTATTTATAGAAGTAGGATTATAAAGATAATGCAAAATAATTTAAATTCAATGACAATCCTTATTAAAATTAAAGTCCAACCGAATATTAAACATAAGAAGATAATTTAATATAATAAAATAAATAAATTTAAAAGTACGAAAAATTCAACAAAAAATAAATATGCGCCCCTATAAATCTTGAAAACTTTTCGGTCTAGTTCCATTGTAACAGGTCGCATTACTCGCAGTAATAATAAGTCCTCAGGGGCAGCAGACACCTCCTGTCTGTAGTATCCTCCTCAAGTGGAACTAAAATGTCTACGGTAGTGAGGATAGACTTCTTCTTATTCACTTGAACCTTAGATTTTTTCAAAATAAGATTTCAAAATAGGATGAAGCTTGTGGCATTTAGCAAGGATATGACCAAACATCTTACAGTGGGTACAATATGGGGGTTTGTGTTCCATGAGGATTTGTTGTCAATAACCATTATTAGTTGTGCCCAGCCAGATTTCAGTACATCAAGTAAAGTAATATCCCTTTTCACAAGTATTCTGACCATCGAGGGTCTAGTTAGGTTGAAAGTAGTGGATCTAGTTTCAAAGGATCCTCAAAGACGATCCCAATAAAGTAGAGATCCTGATGGTGAAAAAAATGCAACTTAAGATCAGGTAAACTAAACCATACATGTATAGTTGGAGTTTCATGCTTTGGGTCAAAATTAGGAGACCACTTGAGTAACTTCATTGATTTGTCTTCGATATTAAGTATTTCTTTGAGAAAATTCTGGTGTAGTCTTCAGACACTGTTAGTTGGATCAACACGTATCTCTCATCCATGAGTCCCACTTTTCACATGCATACCAGCTTAAGATCATCAACACTCTTTGTGGTAACATCCATAGGAGGGTGTTCCCACTGAAATTTGTCAATAAGAGCAAACTTGAATTTTTCCGTCAGGGTAGAAATTTCTGATTCAAATAAAAAGATTGTTTTTTTTTTTCTCCTTTCCTACTTCCCTTCTTAATAAAAGGATAATCATCTGTACCCTCACGACATTACTTAAGGGGAATGCCACTGCGGACTCCTTCAGAGGGTTACCCACTACGCGAGCAAAAGAGACTTTGTCCGGCTCAACCAAAGAAGAAGGAAATGCCATCAACGGCTGTCAGCGTTAAACTGCTGCGAGGTTGCTGAAAGGCAGGCAGGGGAGCTGTTGGGCGCAGAAGCAGGAGCAGCGTTGAAACAGAAGAATCGGGCGCAGGCAACAACTAGGAGCGACAGAGGCGTGAAAGACAACGACGTCGAGCAGAGCAAGTGCGAACGTCGACGTCGAGCAGAGGAACGATAGCGACAGAGGAAGACGACAACTCGAGCAGTGGAGATATTCTTCTCGTTGATAAGACGAGAGAAAAAGCTCAGGAAAACTTCAATTATGAGGTCTACGTTGGAGTCTAAAGGCCTTCATTTGAGTAGAACTAAAATTGAATACATGGAATGTAAATTTAGTAGTAGTAGCTCTAGTGATAGTAGTGTAACTTCTAGTGACAGAAGTGTAACTTTGGGTGATCAATTTATTAAAAAGTGTGAACGATTTAGATATCTCGGGTCTATTTTTCAAAGCAATGGTGATATAGATGGAGATGTTAATGGTAAAATTCAAACTAGTTGGTTGAAGTGGAGGAATGTTGCGAGCCTTTTGTGTGATAGAAAAGTACTGCTTCGACTGAAAGGAAAATTTTATAAGATGGTAGTGAAACCTGCAATGCTCTATGACGTTGAATGCTGGCCTTTACAAGAAGAGAAGCATAACACTAAGATGAGTGTTGCCGAGATGAGAATGATTAGGTGGATGAGTGGCTTTACACTTAGAGACTAAATGAGAAATGAATATATCTGTGATACGGTTGGTGTAGCTCCACTGACAAACAAGATTAGAGAGTTTTCTTAGATGGTTTGGTTACATAAACGTTGCCCATTGTCGGCACTATTTTTGGTGTGAGGTTTGCCCGTAAGAAGCTGTCGGTCATCGGAATTGAAATCCTGTTGCCCGCTTCGGAAGGACGTTTTTAAAAAATTTTAGTTTTGAAAAAGATGAAGTCAA